TGGAATAGTTGTCGATGAGCTCGAAAAAGGCGTACTTCGTTGAGATTTCTAATGAGTAAGCTATATCAGATTTGTGTACCAATTCCTTCATGGCGGTTGAGCGCTTTCATTCAGCAGAATCGGTCCTATTCCATTGCTCAGCGCCGGTCGCAGATTGCAGTCTGTCGATCCAGTCGATCCTGATATACTTCATTGATTTCTCAACAACACTTTCATAGCCTGGTGTCATTACTGTACAAAGGTCATCATTTATGATAAGAGATCAATTTCTCATTGTCCTCCACCATAAAAACGGATCGTTCTTGTTGCGTGGAAAAAGAAGTCCAAGACAGATTTCAGTTTGCTATGTCTTGACCTTTCTTCTCAACCAATGGTTATCGTCTATGACAGCAGGTCATCTCTGACCCAAGTCCTCTCACCAGCCTACGATTATTTAGAGATTCTCTGGTCGAAACCAATATAAATGTTGCGAACCATTTACTCAGTACTGCGCCACCCTACCTTAAGCTCTCGTTTTTCATTGATGCTGTTGTGGACTTTCGCTGAAAGAACCATATGTGGTCGGGTTATTTATCCTAATGCTCACGAATTGTCAATTTTTTGGACGCTTAACTGTCGAACGGAATCTGAAAAAAAAGTTTAATCGTCAAATTGTCAGCAATTCTCCGCTCTTGATGAATCAAAGACGCTGGTGGATTGATGCGGCATAAAAGTCTCTGATTAGTAAAGATCAAGGATAAACCATTCGGCATTGATCAATCTCTGATGGATTGGCCTTAAATTCTGCTTCATTAAGCATCGTAAAAGTGATCGAGTGCATATATAACCTTTATGGTGGCCTTTCAATCTAAAAAGTCGGAAGGTTTACTTGGAAGAATCTCTTCGCTGTAAATCGCACCCCGACACCTAGGAACACCTCCAAGTCACGATGAGGAGGAAAAACCGCTGAAAGGCTCGGAAAGTTTATCCTTTCAAAGTCTCGTTGTAATTTTTCGGTTCCGGAGAAATGGAAGGCTTGTGATCTTGCGCACTGGATTGAAATATCGTCCGATTCTGTGCGTACTGTAGGTGACTAGTGCGCTACAGTCCCTCCACTTAATGAGTAGTGCTTGTACTCTCCCTAGTCTACAGTCCCTGAGTACTCTTACATCTAGTGGAACTGGTTCCTTCGCTCTGTCACGTGGCTCTCCTTGCGCTTCTTCCTGACATCACCTGTTATTCTTCAGTCACCGTGATTAATCAACACGTTGGGTGACGCGAGACGGAGCGATAACGAATACGCTTTTTTTGGAGTTGACGATGAAAT